ATATATATATATGTATGCATATATATATATATATATATATATATATATATATATATATATATTCCCCCCCATCTTTTCTCAATTCATGGCACCCAGCACCTACTTCCACAGCCTTCAGATCCTGTGGTATTTTTAAATTGTGCCATAAATAGGTTCAGTGATAAGCAGTCAACATTTTTAAGGGCCTCTTAACTAAATATTACCTAAAACTAAATAGTATCTGGACAATCGTATGAAAATAGCCCAGCAGAGCCATCCAGTTCTCGGTCATGAGAAGCTCATGATAACTGTATGTAAATAGATCTTCAAAATACTGAAAGATGGTAGGCACTCTGCCTCCCTCCATCCTGAGTTGATAGAGAATTTTTTCTTCTGCAGAAGGCACTTCTAAAAAAAAAAGAAAAGAAAAGAAAGGCATTTTTTGAGGTAGCATCAGTCGTGAGTTACTGGCTGGAAATGACAGTCAAGCTAGCCTGGTTGTCAGCTCAGCGCTGGTTTAGTTGTCTGGGACGTGCACTGAACCCCCCGCTCTGGGAAGGTTGCCTCTGACCCTTCCACCCAGGTCAGTTGTCATCAGGGATCCCCTGCATCCGCAACCCCACTCAGTCTGGCAACTGCATGTGTCGCCTGCTTCCCTGACTCTCCAGAAGGCAGGCGCGGGCCCCACTGTGAGGCTGGCCCAGTGGCTGTCCTGCAGCCTTGCTCCCCTCTGCATGGCTCCCCTGCCTCCCCAGCGCAACCCTCGTCCCTCCTTCTCATCCTCTCCATTTCTCCAACCAGATGGCTGCCCTGACTTGTGCAACGGTAACGGGAGATGCACACTGGGTCAGAACAGCTGGCAGTGTGTCTGCCAGACCGGCTGGAGAGGGCCCGGATGCAACGTTGCCATGGAAACCTCCTGCGCTGATAACAAGGATAATGAGGGAGGTGAGCAAGCTTCTTCTCATTCCCAGCCCCTTAAGGGCAGAAAGTTGTATATGCTTTCGTCATGAGCCATTTTTTTTTCCTCTGAAAGACCTTCCCTACGCTACTGTCAAATGGTGTTGTAACATTTCCTTTGAAGCAAATGCGGCAGAGAACGGGCATCCTTATATCAGTGGGGACTCCTGGAGACACAGGCCGGAGGCACTGGGGTTTATGCTGGCCTTAAGTTCCCAGGTACCATTGCCACAGAAAGATGACTGGGCCCTGGCGCTGCCCGTGGTGCGGCTGGTCATGCCAGACGTTTCAGAGCTGAGTGCTACCGTTGTTGACAATGGTGATAACAGCCTGTGCCTCACACTGTGCTTGGATGTCGTAAGCAATGTGTGTTTTTATCCTTATAGCCCTTTGAGATATCACTTTACAGATGAGGAAACCCAGGTCTAGAGAGGAGTGAAGTAACTTTTCCAAGATAATCCAACCAGCAGTAGTAAAATCGGGACCCAAACTCAGCTGTGGCTCCAAAGTTTGTGGTCTAACCGGTAGTCAGCAAACTATAGCCCACATACGAAAATTGGCTCGCGCCCAGAGGTTTTAACACTTTTAATGGTTGGAGGGAAAAAATCTTAAAAAGAATAATAGTTGGCTGGGTTCGGTGGCTCAGCCTGTAATCCCAGCACTTTGGGAGGCCCAGGTGAGTGGATTGCCTAAGGCCACGGGTTCGAGACCAGCCCAGGCAACTTGGCAAGACCTCATCTCTACAATAAATCAAAAATTAGCCAGGCATGGTAGCACATGCCTGTAGTTCCAGCTACTTGGAAGGCTGAGGTAGAAGGATCGCCGGAGCCCAGCAGGTACACGCTGGGTGGCCGTGAGTGTGCCACTGCACTCCAGCCTGGGAGATAGTGAGACTCCAACTTAAAAAAAAAAAAAAAAAAAAAGAGTAATAGTTGATGACATACGAAAATGATGTGGAATTCAAATTTCAGTGTCTATAAAATTTTTAGACCACTTTACTGAGGTGTCATTAACATATAAAAAGCTGTGTATTAATGTACAGTATTCTCCTATTGTCCCCTGGAATATGTTCCAAGATCCCCAGTGCCTGCCTGAAACTGGATAGCATCAAACCCTAGGTGCACTATGTTTTTTCCATCTGATGAGCAAGACAGCTGCTATGTGACTAATGGTCAGTTAGTGTCTACAGCATGGATACCCCAAACACAGGGAAGGTCACGTCCCAGGTGGGGCAGAACAGGATGGTGAGAGATTTCATTGGGCTACTCAGATCAGAGTGCAACTTAAAACTTATGAATTGCTGATTTCTGGAATTTTCCCTTTAATATCTTGTGCCATATTTGACTGTGGAAAGTGAAACTGTAGATAAGGTGGGACTACTGTATACATCTCAACAAATTTGGGGATAATTGTGCACCACCATCAAGGCCATAAACACAACTATCACCTCCCAAAATTTATTTCCACTCCCTTTATTATTATTATTATTGTTTGGGGTGTTTCTTTTTCGGTTTTGAGTTTTCTGTTTTTGTTTTTGTAGTAAGAACACTTAAGCTCTACCCTCTTAGAAATTTTTTTTATTTTTATTTTTTTTGAGTTGGAGTCTCACTCTGTCACCCAGACTGGAGTGCAGTGGCCGCTCCCGGCCACCACAGCCTCGACCTGCTGGGCTCCGGCGATCCTTCCGTCTCAGCCTTCCAAGTAGCTGGAACTACA